TCACACCCTGTCACACCCAGTCATAGCACAGGGCTTACTTATTTGGCTACTAATTAGAATTTCTATTAAAAAAGATTCTTGATGCCATTACTAAAAAGTCAAGGTTTTAATAACAACTGCCATATAGTATGCATATATACACGTTTGCAATTTTAACAGTAAAATGTATGCTTTTCACTTACACACAGTTGTTTTTTAACCCATGATAATCAGGTTTGTTCCCAGACACATTCCTGTAATTCTTCCTTGAAGATTGACCTAAATGATATATGTAGTGTGAAAAAAAAATCCTTATAAATAAAAGTCTTTGGGAAAAGTAGCCCTTTTGTTTCCTCCAAGGTGGGGGCTCAGGGTTTTGGATAGAATGGAATGTCAAGTACCAAAGTTCAGAACAAGGGATCTTGTTCATTAAGTTTTCTAAACTAGCATTTACAAATTGTTACAGGAATTCAGTTTCAGTTCAGTGGCCACATGCTAGGGTGAGAGGTAGGACAAAAGCTAAGTTTCTTCAAATACCCCTGTGCAATCTGCACCTGCCAGTAGGGTAAGGAGACTGGGAACTAAGATAGTATCTGGGGAGCTCTCTGCCTCTGCTCAACACCTGACCAACGAAAGGTTTATTTCCTTCTCTAACAGGTGAGGTGCTAAATTAAAGGGTTATTCAAAGAACTTTACTGAGGACCTTCAGTGTGCCAGATTATTGGCTAGAAAAGGTAGAATCTACCAGTAGCAAATGCTTCAGAAACTAGATTCAGAAGGACTGGAAACTGGTTGGCGGTGCTGCTATTAATAGGAGACAGTGTTCGGTTTGCTGTTCAGTGTTTATTAAGTAGATTCAGTCTTATATATGATATACAGGTTCAAAAGGAAAAGGATTCCACATACTTATGAAATCAGTGCATTTAGCAAGTAATACCATGGAGATAACAGCTCGATTAACAGCTCATTGGTCTTGTTAAGTGAGGGAGAGAGGGAGTCGGCCTGTGCTAGTCATTCCACAAACAAAACAGAATTTAGTCGCATCACGTAGAGAAGACACATTCTAAGAATTAAAATATTAAGCCACATTTACTGGAAAAACTCACTATATAGAACACAAATAATTTTTATAGAGAGCATTGAGGAGGAAGTCCTCACCTGCTTAGAAGAGCCACGTTAAGTTGCATAGGTGCATATCTGTAAAAATATAATTTAGAGGTGAAGCCATTGATTAACGAAGAGTCACCTTTAAAAATTGGTGCCATCCACTGTTTGCCTTAAGTGCCATATTCTTGCTGTCTGGACCCCCTCCCCCCCGCCCCTCCTCCTTCCCCAGAGGTGGTGCTGCATGAACAAGCTGCCCCTAGAGGAACCTTCAAGAAATACTTGTACCATCTACACTGAAAGTTTGAAATCTCATCTCGGATATGGAACTCATGCTCTTCCAAAACACGTCTAAATTATGCCAGAGGATTGACGACCTCTTGGATTGCCCCTAAGTCCTGGTTGGCTTGCTCCTAAAGGCCACGTGAGTCATCTTGACCTGCTCACTCCCAGGCTGCCCAGAAAACTGTCTTCATCCCACAGCTCTGCAGTGCAGTCCTGCCTTCACTCCTGTCCAGTGGGCAGTGCATTAGCAGCCGACAGGAGGCCGGTTCTGACTCTTGTTCCTAAATGGACCACGTGATAGAAGAACGTGGGCCACCTACCAGGTGGAAAGTGTTTTTCAGCAAATCTAAGTTCTACATAGTGTAGGATTTTTGTTTTTATTTTTAGGTGGAAACACAGGTAAAAAGTGAGAGGTTTTTGTTTTGTGGCTTTGGTAAGCAGATGAGCTTAGTGAGGTGCATCTTCCTCCTCAAGAGCAAGTCTTGCAGAACACACAGGGACTGGGGGCATCTGTACATGTAAACAGTACACTTTCACTGAGTCCAAAATTAGGAGCAAAAATACAAAGGTTCACATTGGTCTTAGGTAGATACAGGCGAGAAAGGATTGAGCTGTTTAGCTCCGAAACAACAAAAACAAAGTTTCTAAAGCACCACTAAATTATATAAAAATCAGACCATGGACGGATTGAAACTGGTATTCTGGTGAAATACTTTACTATCTTGTAAAAAGTTTTACAAAAAATTACAAATTAAAAGTATCAACCCTCTGAGTTCAAAGCAGCATTTTGAAAATGAACTGGTAGTTAATCCTATAACCACCCCTGGAGTTGTAAGTGGCCCTTGGGAATAGGGATGGATGGGTTCTGTTTGAAATCTTCTAAAACCCTTCTAGCCCCCCACCTGTTCCCCTCCCCCTCAACACTGTCCTTGGGAGTAAACTGTTCTTTGTAAGAGTGGTGATGGTAAAAGGAATTTTTGATGGGTTACACATGCTTACCACTGGTCTACTCAAGGATTCCCCACTAAGACCAAAGGCCCACTTCTCTGATTCTACCCTTTTTGGGTTAGCCCCCCTACAAAGACTCTGGAATTGCTACTCTTGGATTTCCTTTTTAATTTAGCATCCCAAATGATTACTTTGTGCCCTGTAGGCCCTTCAGAAGATTTTTAAATGTTTGTGGGGCTTTGAAGAAGGCAGTCCCTCCAGGGAGGGTGAGACAACAGTGAGCTTGGTTCATCAGAACCAGCTCTGGTGCTCTCCAAGTCAGGTATAAAGGGAAGGAGTTGAAGCTGCATCTCTTAAAACAGAAGCTGACTGAAACAGCTAGTGGAATCCTGTTTCCATGCACTAACTTGCTCCTGATTCTGCCATCTCCAGGGCTTAAGGATAGCTTCATTGGGAAGAAGCCCACTTAAGAGGTGGGGTCAATGTGACAAAATCCATCCTGGATTGGATGGGGGCCCCCTGCAGTCCCAGTGGACTTTTACCACTGGCGTGTCCTCTCCTTTTTCTTTAAAACACACTGAACCCACACTCTTGCCGCAGTACTAAGGCAGGCTGGAGGTGCTACAGCTTGAACTTAGCTCAACTTCAAATGGTAGCCTATACTGATCTATAAATCCTTTGTGTGGGTGGTGAGAGGGAGCTCCTTCCCCAGCCTTGCTCACTTCTGTCTGCCAAAAATTGCAAACCGTTCCTGTCCAGCTTGGGTACCGCCTTTGGGAGAAGTGAGTGACACATTAAGCAACATATCAGGAATTCTAGGGTGGCGATTGTCTCTGCCAGGTTTTAACATTAAGATTTTCACAAATTGCCTGGGGTAACATTTTGCAAAAGATCTACTGATTACTTTGTAGTATTGTTCACACACAAAAATAAATATTTACATAAATTCAAACATCCGGGGTAGTGCTTGAGCAGGTGGGACTGGACACGTGGATGCCGGGTGTGGGGGAGGCCTTGGGCACTGGAGCTTGTGCTGTGCTAAGGGTAAGTCTCAGGTGTCCTGGCCCTGCCTAGAGGCTTGGGGGTTGATCAGGTGGAAGGCAGAGGAGGTGTGGCTGGGTGAGGTGTTGGAGGCCACTTGAGAGATAAGACCACCACTAACCTACAGGGCTAGAAGTAAGCAGGGGGTGAGGACCCTACCTTTCAAAGTTTCTGGATCTGAGGCAGGAGGGGGCATACGCACTGGTGCCCCCTTCCTGCCCCTCCTGAGGGGGGGCCTGCCACAGTGCCAGGAGGAAGTTGGCTGCAGAAAACTAGTTTGGGAAGGGGTGCCTGCTCTGGGGTTGAGTGGCTCTCTGCAGCCATCCGGCCCTGGCTCTCCTGGGACCTCTTTGCTCTGAGGGAGGAAAGGCAACAGAGGGCTTCTGCCAGCTCTGGGCAGGGACGGACAGCAGAGAGCTGCTGTCATGGCTACGGAGTGTTGCATGGAGAGGCCCCGGGGGCCCGTGGAGGTCTGGGCGAATCCCTGGTTTTAGCAGCACTGGTAGGTATTGCACTGAGCAAGAGGAAGTGCCTATCAGGGAGGAAGGAAACCAGGCCAGCTTTTTCTTTTTGCCCTTTTTCACACTCCAGGGATTATGGGCTTCTTCCAGGACTAGCCCCTCCAGAAAAAGGGCTGGTCCTAGGAGAACCCAAGTGGCTTCTCCACTTCCACTGATGATCCCTTTACTCCAAACATGGGGTGAGGGGATGGGAACTGCAGTCTCCCCTGGAGCTCACAGCTGCCTGACAGCCAGGGGCTCACCCTGAAGAGACCTGCCCTTCTTGGCAGGTGTCTGAAGGCCCAGCCTATGCAGAGAAGTGTTCAGACCTGGCTCCCGGGCAGCACAGTGAGGGCAAGGGCTCTGCTGACCAGCTGCCATCTCCTAGCACTCTGTCCCATTAAGCAGCTGAGAGGGCCAGGGGCCTTGGGCAGCTGGTCAACAGGGGCAGGGCCCTCTCTGGGCTCTAGCTCCTGGATGTCCAGTCTGGACTTACCTCCCAGGCAGACACTGTGGGGATAGCTGGGGTAACAGCCTTTCAGAACAGGCTCAGGGCACATCCTGGAAAAAGCCCACGCTGGAGTGTGAGGTAGAATACAGGTGACCATGTAACTGGGGCTTCTGTAGAGTGGGGTGGGGTGCCTTTTTTGTTTTGCTTTGCAATACATGTAGGTGAAGTCCTCCTGCTTGGTGGTACCTGAGGAGGTGCCTGGCAGTGTCCCTGTGGCAGCACTGGGCACTCAAAGGCACAGCCAGCCTGGCACCATCCTGCCCCTGCCAGCCCCAGCCCGCATCAGTGTAGTGATATGGAATGTTAGGTATAGGGACACATCCTTCTGATCAGACAGACACAGACTGGCAATCTGTACAAACACAAAAGAATCCATTTTCAGAAAAATAAATTACTAAGGGGAGAGGAAGAAAGGGTCCACTTTGTTTTTCTCAATAAATATGCAATTCTGCTCACCTAAGACTTGAAAGGTAATTATCTGGGGGTGGGATTCTAACATCAGGGTCCACGAAGGTGATTCTAAATAGAGCCACAGCCCTGGCGCCTTGTCAGGGGAGCCCCACCCTTCCAGAGCTGCCCGATTGGCCTCTTCCAAGCAGGTCAGAGCACCCGTGTGGTGAGATTCCAAAAAAAAAAAGTGTCCTTGTGCCCAAAGTCTCAGGTGCTTGGAGTGTGGCTAGAAACAGCTCTTTTGGATCCCACCTCTTTCAAAAAATGAAATGTACCAACTGGTGAGGCAGGAAGCCAGGTTCGGGCTGGGACACTGCTCCTTCCCTAGGGCAGTGTACTCCAGGTGCCAGCGGGGTCAGTTCTGCTGTAAGATGAGGTTTTCCAGTTCATCTGCTGAGCGCAGCAGGAAGGCAGCGGACTCCCGGTAGCCAGCGATGAGCTGCCGCACGGCGCTGATCTCCGTGGGGCTGAGCTGGGCGCTGGGCATGGTCCTGCTGGTGCTGTTGCTGGAGGGGGTCGGTGTGGGGGTGGTGGAGGTGGTTGTGGCCCCGCCTTTCATGCTGAGGTCTGTGGGCCCTGTGGAGAGGGATGCAGGGTTAGGGTAGGGTGACCAGATTTTAACATCAGTAAGGCGGGACAACATGGCCGGGAGGCAGGGCGGGGGTCAGGGCCTGACAACAATGCAAACTTTGATAAGCAGTTCTCGATAATCACTTCTCAGCAATTATTTGTTATTATTACAGTTTAACATCGTAAAATTAACAAAAATAATGTAAAACTCATATTCTGGCGAAATAGCCACATGGCAGCCCAAAACTGTATATTCCCTTCTTGTTCTCTCACCCGTTCATGCATTCTTTCCAAAAATCGGGACTTTTTTAAAACACCGCGGGATGTGCGACAAATTGTTAAAAAGCGGGACAGCTGGTCACCCTAGGTTAGGGAGGGTTCAGGACACCCTCCTAGTATGTGGGAGATGAGGCATCCTCTATGCTGTGAGTCAGGCATTGGACTCTGAGGGCCTGGGCTGTATCCCTAGTGGATGAGGCCTGCCCATATCAGGGGTTCTCAGTTAAGCCTCAGGGTGATCCTGCAAAGAAAGGGGTGCCCTCAGTACCATGTGACAGAGGCAAGCTGCTGTTGAGAGGCTTGTTCAGGATTACACGGGGAGTGCATGCATGGTGGGTGTCGGGAGGGTGCCATGCGACAGACTCATGGGCTCTGGTATCAGGCCTTCTACTCTTGCTTCCTGGCACAGATCATGCCCTTTGCTTCTTTCTGAGGACCCCTGACAGACACACTGTAGCTCTGGCTCCAGGTGAGGAAGCAGAGGCCTGAGGCCAAGGTACTTCCCGAGATTGGCTCCTGCAACGTGGTGAGCAGAGCTGGGGGACGGGAATTAACAGTCCCATAAAAGAACTGTGGGGACAAGCACTGAAACAAAGTTCTATGTGCATGGAGAATGATATAGACCTGTGTGCTATCCTGGGAGGGGAGACGGTTTGCAAGAGACCTGGCATGCAGGCAGGGGCCCAACACACCCAAAGGATGTATGTGTGGAAAACCCAGGAAGAATCCACAGTGGAACCACAAAAAGGCAGTAAAAGAAATGCCTGAGCATACACAGAAGGACGGGGCTTCTGTCCAGCTGGAGGGAAGCCAGAGAGGCAGCTTCCCTGGTTGGCTGGAGAAAAAGACAGAGACCAGGACATGATGGCACCCCCAGAAGAGAGGGGGTGCAGGTGCCTGTGGGTGGAGGGAGGAACTAGGTTAAGCGCTCTCTGCTGGGCCTCAGCACCTAGTGCCCCTTTCCTCTCAGGAGTTCTTTTGTCCATGAATGAGACTCAAGGTTCATGCTGCTGTGACAGGAGGGGGGCTGCTGTCAGGACAGGTCCCAGACAGGTTGTCTAGGGAAATGGCCTGTGCTTTGCCCTCAGATAGTGGCAGCAGAGAGGAAGCCCCTCTTCTGGAACATACCAGGCCTTGATACTTCTCAACCTTTCCCAAGTTCTGTGGGGTAGACTGCAGGCTTTGGAGCTCAGTGTAGAATTCAAGTCCCGCTCTGCTACTTCATTGGAAAATCCTTCAAGCCCTCTGAACCTCAGAGCCCTCATCTGCAAACTGAGAGGCTCTTGCAAGCAAGAGCTGGGACACCACAATGGGAAGCTTCTCAGCCCCCAGGAGGCAGGACTGCCCAGTCCCAGCCACCAGGAAAGGGCTTCTCAACAGGTTTGGGGGCTTTATGAATGGGCTCCTAGGAGATCTGGGAGCTCCTGGAGTTTAAAAGGCATTCTTAAAGTGTTTGGCCAGCTACAGATGAGAGGATCTGGGGCTTGCTTAGGAGGCCTTCTCTGACCCAGTGAGGTCAGCTTCCCTGTTACCTGCCCCATAGACCACATCCCACTGCACTGGGAGATCAGTCATCTCCTCACTACCCTGTAGGTTCTAATGGCCGCATCTGTTCATTATTACATCTACAGTGGCAGTTTTTATGGTGTTATAAACAAATGGATAAGTGCTTGTCACTGGAGACATCTAGACCTTTTTTTTTTTTTTTTTGAGACAATCTCACTCTGTCTCCCTGGGTAGAGCACCATGGTGTCATGGCTCACAGCAACCTCAAACTCCTAGGCTCAAGTGATTTTCTTGCCTCAGTTTTTCTATTTTTGATAAAAATGGGGCTCTTGCTCTTGGTCAGGCTGGTCTCAAACTCCTGAGCTCAATCAATCCACCTGCCTTGGCCTCCCAGAGTGCTAGAATTATAGTCATGAGCCACTATGCCCAACCCAGAAGTAACATCTTGTGATAAATTATGGCAACTTGACAGCTGCTAAAAGGAAGCTGGTGTAGCCTCCAATGGGAGAAGGAAGTTGAAGTCTAAGATGAGACAGTTTGTCACATGAGCTTATTTCCTCCCTGACCAGAATCCATGGACATCAAGAAGGAGGTCCTAGGAACTACTTCACTAAAAATGTCATTATAATTGAGAATTAAGGGAACTGTTAAACACAGGAGAAAGGAGTTGGGGCTGCGTAGTGCTGGCAATAGCAGCCAAGCAACAGACTGACTCCCTGCTTGGTGGCCAAATGGGCAAGTGGGCCAGGCTGGGAACAGGAGTACCTCTGTCAGTTATTGCAGGGCCTGGGTCCAGAGGGATAGGGAGGAGAGGGTTTGGTTCCCTCTCAGGTAGCTCTGGTCTCCTCCAGACAATGCTTTGGGTAGCTGGAGCCTTCTGCCATAATCAATGTGAGTAGTGGCCCTGGGCTTCATCTCTTTCCTCCTCCTGTTCCCAAGTCTTATCCTGTTCTCGTCTGTGCTCAGAGCTTTCCTCTTGTCTCCCCTGGGCTGCAGCTAAAGCCTGGAAAGGAGGAGCTCCCTGTTTCCTACAGCCAATCTGATCTGGAGACATCCTTGTGCAGGCTCTGGTTACAGCCAGTTGCTCAGGTTGCCGGCTGTTTGCTGGAGGGGCAGGAGTGGGCAGGAGGTGCCCAGCACCCCAGGCAAGACAGGCAGAGTCTGATTCTATCTAAGCTGATTTGCATCTCCAGATGACAACATAATGAGCAAAGTGAGGAGCTCCGAGCCATTAATACGGCTGCCCAATGAAGGTACCAAACTGACAGAACAATCACTTAAAAACGCCATGCCTGGGGAGGGCAGTGGGACTGGGTGGCCCTGCAGCCACATGTACTGGGCTCAAACCCAGATTGAAACATTGTTTTTCAAATGAGGTGCCAGTGCTCACAGGACAGGGGCTGCCCCAGACAAGGAGGTAAATGACCAGATCCCTGCCTCAGTCACCTCCTACCCATTGCTAAGCAACCAGATGGGAGACTGAGGCCCAGGACGCACAGTGGCAGAGCCAGCCTGTTGTCTGTGTCTCTGGTAGATATGAACAGGGTAGGGCATGCAGCAGGCTCTGCACCCCACCAGAGAGGCCCTCATGAGAGAAGCAGCCCTGAGATAGAACACACCAGGTGGTACTAGGGGAGGCTTGTCTCTATTGCTTACTGCCTGGGAGGGACCATGCTCTAGGTCGCCCCCCTCCCAGTCCTGCTGGGCCCCAGACTCCCCATGTGAGTGGGTAGGGCTGGCAGAAGGCTCTTCTTCCTGGAAGGAAAGCAGCCTCCTTGGGATAGCCACTCCACCTCTTGCTGTGCTGGCTGCTCTGGCGTTAGCTGTAGGGATTAGGGCCAGGCAGCCTCTTATTTTAGGTTAAGAGGCATTAGGAAGGGATGAGGAGTTAAGCCCAGGCAGGAATCTTACAGGGACCTGCAGTAGACTTCCTGGTTCTGGGGGGGTATGGTGAGTGTGGTGTAGGGACTAGCTCCAGGCTTGGAGCAAGGAGTGGGGTGAGTGAGTGGAGTGGCCTGGGCTTCCTGCTGTGGGTAGAACTTGCCCCCTCCTTTGCTGCCCTGTTGCTGAGGACAAGGGCCTAAGGAATTCTCAGGCATGTTCAGCTAGTCTTCCCCAGCTTGCAGGAGGCTGGTGTCCTCAACTCCTCCCCTCACTTCTGGCCTCTAAACAACCCCCAAAGCACACAACTTCTGTCTCCAGCCCTCCCCATTCAAATCTTGCCACAAGGGCAGACAGAATGATGTGGATGGCACAATTCACTGCCCTTCCATGGGCAAAACCTACTGGCAGCTACTCCCCAGCACAGAACAAAACCCACATGCCTAGTCTGAGAGGTCCCAGATGCTCTCCACAGGTTGGCCCCACTCCTCTCCTGCTGCCTGCTGGCCTCAGAGTAAATGGGCCAGAGGTGCCCACTCAGTTCCTGTTCTGAACAGCACTTAACTCCATGAGGAAGTTTCTGGTTCCTCAGGGACTGTTTCTCTAGTAATGCTCTGTGTCCCATCTGTAGCACAGGTGCTTGGGAGTCGTTACCAGGAAAATGCCTACCGAATCACTCAGCAGTGGGAATAGAGCCAAGGAACCAGGTGTGTCACCACTGCCCCAGGTGACTGGGATGTGGACACCATGAGTGCAGGGGTAAGGACTGAGGCAAGAGTCAGGCCATGAGCTGAGGCCTGGGGAAGGAAGTGATCTGCTCAGAGGTCACCTCAGTAGGTCAGCTGTGCCACAGCTCAGGGCCAGACCTGGCTCTGTTGGAAGCACCTCCCTGAATCTCAGCCATCATGGGTAAGCTGGGGTGTGGAGAGGATTTGACTCAGGTAAAGGACAGAGTCTTGGCTGCGACTCAGTCATGCTCACAAGGGCCTGGGGGAAAAGAACCAGTGAGAGGCACCGGAAGAGAGTAAAAGCAGCCTTGGAGCCAATGTCTCTGCTGGTGAGGAGGAGGTTGTAAGTTTCTGTTTTAAACCACTGGAGTCTCCCTCACCTGCTAATCTAAGGGCTGAGAGGGTGCCAGAAACCACCTCAAGCTCCCGGAGCCATAAGGGAGTCCCTTTGCTACCCTGGCCTCTGCTTTTCCCCTGCCCTGCCCTCCCTGGGACAGTTGTGCAGACTGCGCTGGGTGCTAGTCAGGGAGCCCGAGTCTGGGCCTCCCCCCACTCACCGTTACTGTGATTTCCTGTCTGGAGGGAAGCAGGGGGCTGCAGGTTGCTGCTCAGGGCCCCGTAACCACGATAACTATAGTTGAGGCCGCCATTGACGTACACAGGGTCCTGGGAGTAGGAGGAGGCTGGCAGTGAGTAGGTGGAGTGGGTGATGGCTGCGGAGTCCCGCGAGTGCTGCTTGTCCAAGGCTATGGGCTCATCCTGTAGAGGAGAGAGAGGTACTGGGAAACCCAGGGGCACCCAGCCCCAATCTCTGCCCCTAGATGTGGCCTGTCTTTGGCTTGCCCTGTGGGATTTTGTCTGTCTCTCCCTTGGTCGCCTTGCCCCTTAGGGCTTCCCCCTTGCCGCTCATCTCCCAGTGGGTGAGCACTGGCCTGAGAGGGTGCCAGAAGCCACCGTAAGCTCCCTGATCCATGAGGGAGCTCCTTTGCCTCCCTGGCCTCTGCTTTTCCCTTGCCCTGCCCTCCCTAGTTGCTCTGTCACTGCCCCTCATCCTGGGCTTCTGGTCCCAGGATGAGGGGAGACTTCCTTAGGAGGCCTGCAGGACCTTTGGCTGACTCTTCCTATCTTCCCAGCCCCTCTTTTGGCACCTCCCTGGCCCTGTCTTGGCCACACCCATGTGAGGATGCCCTCCCTGCAGGGAGCAGGTACCTGGGAGGACTGGTAGATCTCCAGGCGCATCCTCTTGGCCGCCTTTCTCGTCTCGCTCTCACAGGCGGCTGCCAGGATGTTTTCTGCCATGGCCGAGGTCAGGTGGGGTGGTGTTGGTCTGGTCTGCAGGCAGAACAAGGATGCAGTTAGTATGGGGCTTAGGGGGACCTGGGCTTGTGCACAGACCCTGCCCCAGGGGTGGGTGGTGCAGAGCTGAGGTTTAGACTCTGGAGCCTTCATTACAGAGCCATGTGCCTTTCTGGGCCTCAATTCCCTCATTTTCACCGTTTCTGTTTTTTGTTTTTAGACACTTCTGGTAAGTGGAAGTTCCTTCATTTTCAAAACAGGGATTATAGAACCTGCTTCCAGGGCCACTGGGAAGATCATGGTAGAGTGTCTGGGGGACACCCAGGAATTCCAGGAGTAGGGCTGGAGGTCAGTGGCGGCACAGGGAGAGGACAGGCTGAGAGACAGCGCACCATCTCCATGCCGTTCTTCTTCATGCGCCGGCAGGACTTGAGGTATGTGCGGATGCGCTTGCGGGCCCGCTCCTGGAATTCTGGGAACTGCCGGCTGCAGGACTCAATGATGGCCTGGATCTTCTCCTTGGGTTGCTTGGAGATGGGCACCATTCGGTCCAGGTTCTCGTCCACAAAGAGGCGCACAAACATCTGTGGAGATACAGCCATCAGAGGGCTGGCCCTGGTCTGCCTGGCCCCACCCCCACCCCACTCTCTCCCAACCCTGTGCTCACATTGAAGGCCTTGAGACGCTCAGGGTCCATGCCCTCAGAGTCATTCATCTTGTCATTGTCCTCATGGTCATCATGGTCATCATCATCGTCATCTGCTGTGGGGGCCCGGCCCACCGTCAGGTCCTCAGGGCAACCACTGACCTCAGTCTTGATGGAATCATAACTCCCAGAGCTGTAGGGGGGTGACTGAAGAGAGGGGTGGGAGGCAAAGGTTGGACCAGGCAGCTGCCCATGGCCTTGCTTAGTAAGCTTGGTCACCAGGATAGCAAGCCTACCCAGCTGCCACATGAGCCACCGCTGCAAGTCACCCACCTTCCTGCTCCCTTCATCTGTACAATGGGGATAGCAATGCTACCATCTCCCTCCTGGACAGTGGGGGCTGTGGGGACCTGACTGGAGTAGCATGTCAACTATTTGCTTGGCAATGGTGAAGGAAAGGCAGACACAAAAGGACAGCCCCGCTGGCTGCTGCTTGCTCTGCCAAGATCCATTTGGCTTCAGGGTTTTCCTCTCTGGTCCCCAAAAGGCTGCCACCCTGAGCTGACAACTCAGCTGTCACCAAAGCAGCAAACATGCTGCTGGGGAAGGGGACAGATGGGCTGGGAGATGGAGTCAGCCAAAGTGACAGGTCCATTAGGCAAAGTGTGTCCCTGCCACTCCCGTGTGTCCCCCAGTGATGCCCCTGAGGCCCCAGTGAGGATGTGTGGGTAGAAATGGGCAAAAGGACCAGACCCAGCCTGCTGTTCTCCTGCACAAGCTCCTCCCTGGACATCTCTCTCCTTGGAATCAGCTCTCCTTACATTTTCCACCTTGCCACCCTTAAGGTGAAGTTCCCACACCACCTGTCTCCTGCCTCTGTCAGGATGCTGCTCTGGGCCGGCTCTCTGAGGACCATTTGCCTTTTAGAAAGTCTGTGCCTTTGGTATGTCCTCACTTCACTCATTGGTATCCTGACTGGCAGTGGCCTGGGGATGTGGTCCCTGCCTTAACAAGGAAGTTGCCATCTAGCCAGTAAGATGGGCCCAGGAAACAAACAGCTGCACAGTCTGAACTTGTGACATGGCAGCCTACTGTGGCGCAGCCTGGAAGACATCACAACACTTGTGGAGGAAAAATAGACAAAGATGCCACTGCCTGTGGCTGGTCTCACAGTGCTGCTTCCAGCAGGGCCCTCTCCCTGGGACCATGCCATGGAGGTCATAGGGTCAGCCTTCCCAGAGGCCCTGGCCTGGTGCTTGTTTCTTCATCTATAAGGGGTAAGTAGGATGCCGAGACTCCCAAGCTGCCTACCAGTTGACTATGTGGTACATTCCCGAGGTATTCCTTAGCCAAATTCTTAGCCAGGGTCAGAGCAAACAAAATCAGAGAAAACTCATGAGATGGATGGAAGGTGCTAGTGTCACTCCTGCTCCCATCTCACCTCCTTATGTGGTGAGGGTCCTGCTAAGCCAAACTCCTTCCTTCCATAGAGCAGCAGCTTTGCCTGCCCCTTGGATCTACTCTAAGATTGGCTGCTCCTTCCAGGCTCCTGTAGCCTGAGCTAGACACACAGTGACACTCGATACCCATCGCTTTGTACAGAATTTTCTCATGAGACTTTATCTGAAGCAAGCACTGGTACCTACCCTACCTTCTCTGCAGAGAGAAAACAGGGAAGGGAGGGAAAAGGAGGGAAAGAGCCTATCCCAGGGTGCATGGCTGGGGCTCAGGAGTGTAAGGCTCCCAGGCTGGAGAAATTCATGACTGTAGGAAAACTCATTGGAGGGAGGCCCCAAGAAACACCTGCATCAGCCTGGCCAAGAGAGGAGTTCTACCACCCACATCCCTGGGCCCTCACCCTTTTTCTGCACCATGTGCAGAATGGTACAGGCATGCAGAATAACAAGGAAATGTGAGGCCTTGCTAAATGTAGCCACTTACTGCTGTTATTCACAGCAGACTGTTCTAGGGAAGGGGGACAGGCCACAGGGACACACATCATCTACCACCTGCACCGAGGCAGGGGCCACTTCACAGGTGGGGAATCAGCTCAGAAGAGTGTGGGTGCTTTGCTTGAAGGGGCACACTCTAAGCCAGTGGTTCTCAACCTTCTTAATGCCACGGCCCTTTAATACAGTTCCTGTGGGTCACGACCCACAGGTTGAGAACTGCTGCAAAGCCATCTCCCATTCCAGAGCCTCTACAAGAAACAGCATATCAGCCCCGGCCACTGCCTTGACTCAGTGTCATACACAGGCTGGCTCCAGCTAAGCTCCCAGCATGTGCGATTTCATCCCAGCTTCGTGACAACCCTGCTGCCTACAGAAAGACTCTCAGCCACAGCCCTACACACCTCAGGGGTGCTCTTCACCCCGTACTTGACGCGGCTCCGCAGCCCATCAGTGCTGCAGCTGTCTGTGGGGTAAGAGGGGGTGCCGAGTGTTGTGCCTGGTGGGAGCTTGTCACACAGATTGATGGGCTGATCCTCAGCGGTGGCAGTGAAGTCCATGGGGGCCACAGCGCCGTTGCCATTCATCTCAGGGAAGGCAGGGTCACCCTGGGTGCTGCTTGACGTAGATGGGTTCAGGGTGGAGGAGCCATTGCCGCTACCACTCTCAGAGGAGGAGTCATCTGGAACAAGAGGCCTGGATGTGAGGCCCCATCCCAGCACCTCCCCCTGAAATAATCCCTCCCCCCCAGCCCTCTGGGCATAGTGGCCAGAGAAGCCACTTTGGAGTACCTGCCCTGTGTCTTCCACACGAACATGCAGGGGAAGGGGAGTGCGTGACTACCTTGTATCAGAGTTCTCTGAGAGCCTAGCCTCACCCCAGCACGAAGCCAAGGTGGTCACAGGGTTCTTCTGTCTGAGTAGTAGGGCCGGCTAGGGCGGGCAGGCACAGAGCTGCCACAGCAGTTCCTCCTGCGCTCCAGACCCACACACACAGCCAAGCCTGCAGATGCCCAACTTCTAGGGTCTGTAAGTGAGTGGCCTACCAGAGGTCCCTAAACACTGCAGAGGCTGCCTGGGGCCTGGCCAGACCCTCCCTTCTTCCCAGCTGCCACAAGGGCACATTCCCACCCACCCTGTTACCCCTGCTTTGCCCCTTCACATGCTCAGAGCCCCTCTCCACAGTGAGCCCCTGAATTTCTTCCTCTGCTTGAGGAAGGAGTGATGGCTCCATTGTGACCCTCAGTAACCCACTCCCTCCTGCAAGCAGGCACAGCTCAACCTCAGCAGTTTATGAACATCCCCGTGGCCTGGGACATCAGAGCCAGGGCTGTGGAGTCTGGGGTTTACATCCCTGGCGCCTCAAAGGGCCATCCCAGCTTCCCTGCAGTGGGCAGCCCAAACAAAGCACTGCAGAGGGCGCCCCCTGCTGTGGCAAGCACAGCATGGCATGCCTGGAGGATCTGGGAGACCAAACTTTAACTGGGGAGACCGGACGTTTTCAGATAAAGTCCAGTCTCTTCCCACCTGGCCCCAGCCGCCTGTTTGATCCGCTGAGACAGCTGAGGTCAAAGTCACCATGGAACTCCCAGGGTCACTATCAGGTGAGCAACCGCGTGGTTCCTGGAGGCTCTGCACCTGCACCCAGCGCCAGTAGGGGAGGGAGTAGCCACAGTGAGCCCTGGCCGCATCCCAGGCCGCCCCTTCCCCCAGGCCAGGGTCGTGCTGGACCCCACCCCCACCCTCCTAGCCAGCAGATTATGAAGATTTAGTCCCCAGTGCTGGGCACTGGGCACGCGCCTCCAGAGCGTCCCCATGGCGACCGAGCGGCTCTAGAGCCCCAACCAATCGCAGGCCTCCCGGCTGCCCAGGGGCGGTACCAGGCTGCCCATCAACCAGCCTGGCGGGGCAGAGGGGGATGGGAAAGGCCCCAGCACAGCGGCACCCCTCCCCCTCGGCTGCCGCAGGTCCCCTGGGCCTGGAGTCCTGTCCTCCTCTTCCTGGCATCCGGGCTCCACCGTTCCCTCCGTCCTCCTGCAGGGGAGCTCTAGGCTCTGCTCAAAACCCGCCCACAGCTCCCCTACTCGGCCCACATCCCAGAGTCTACCGGCCTACAGCCCTGGGGACCTCAGCCTACCTGCCCATCCTCTGTGGTAGTGTTTCCAGCGACCAGCCTGCACATTTGTGGAATGCACAAGTCACCCAGCATCCTTACTGAGCACCTACTGAGCGCTTCATTTGTCCCAGGCCAGGAAACAAAGTAATGACTACAACTAAGGTGACAGCCCTTCTTAGAGGACAGACATGTGTAACTGAACGTCATGGATAACCCAGAAAGTGGATTTTGGGAACAAGGGCACCCACTGTCCTTTAACACAGGGCCCCCCATGGCCTTCCTGAGCTGCCCCACCCATTTACAGCCCCACCTAATGGGCTCTGCCCTGTTCCATAACCTTCCTGGGCCCTGTCTCTGTACTCAGTCTCGTGACCTCTGCAGCTTCCCCCAGCTGTACCGTCTCTGCTGTTTGCCTTCCCAGCGAAGCAAATGTCAGTCTACCTTCAAGGCCTGACTCCATTTTGCTTTGTCAGGGTGGGCTCCTTCCTCTGCCACCCCTAAGAAGGGGTATAGCTCCAATCCCAGCTTGTTATCCGCCTTCCTAGAGATATTTCCCATCTCCTTCACGAGGCCCAGGGTTGTCCTGAGGGCTGCCAGCCCTACCAGAGCAGGCTCTATCACCAGAGAAACTCCCACAGAGGCCCAGGAGCCTCCACTGGGGACAAGGACTGACACCCACACTGGACTGCCCAAGCTCCCAGGAACTCAGCCAGGCCCCACTGTTAGACTACCTTGCAGGTGCAACTTCACACCCCAACACCACCCTCATAGGCCACTTATTTGACCTTGGAGGGCCCTGGATTCCTCCTCTGCAAGGAGGTGCTGCTCCTCAGCAGGCTGCATGCCAGGTACACTGTGAGCCAATGGTCACTGTGTTCACCCCCAGCATCAGGCCCAAAGCCAGCTGCACTGCCACACCCCAGGCCAGAGGTGGCATCCCATCATCTGCCTCCCTGGCCAGGTTTCCCTTGGGAGGACAGGCTCGCCCTTCCTGGGTGTGAGCACAACTGAGACTTGGGTGCTATTCAAGTTGCACAGAGTGCTCTGGGACCCTGCCCAGGTCAGAAGCCTGGCCCAGGGGACCCACATTGTCTAACACCTTTGCTCAGCGTTGTGTACTTGTGTTGCCTGGCCAGGAAGCAAAAGGTGACACCCTCTGGGTATTCAGATACCAGTCTGGTAAGGGAAGTGGTGTATTCCAAGTTTTTTGGAAGAAACTGGAAATCTGTACCATTACGTAAACACGCAGACTGTAAAATATTGGTCGCTGATTTACATTGTTTACATTTTGACAAACCTCAACAAATAAATGGACAGACCAAATGTGGTCTAGCCAAACCATGGAATATTGGTACTCAGCCATAAGTTTGGATACACGTTCGATGTGGATGAACCTTAAAAACATTATGTTAAGTGAAATAAGCCAGACAGAAAAGGACAAATATTGAATGATTCCATTTATAAACAATCTGTAGACTAGGCAAATTCAGAGACAGACCGTATAATAGGTTAGCAGGGCCAAGGGAATGGGTTATTGCTTTAAGGGTGCAGAGTTTTTGTTTGGTACTGAACAAGTTTTAGAAGTAATGGTGCTAAATTGTATACTTAAAAAGGGTTAAAATGGCAAGTTTTATTTCGTGCCAAAACCAAACAAAACCCTGAGCAGGCCTATGGGCACCTGTTCGCAGGCTCTGATGCCAGTTGGTGGCCCCATGCGTATCTGGGGTGGGGAGGTCCAGCCACATGCACAGAGCGCACATCATTGGAACAAAAAGAAAAAAAATTACAAAGCCTGTGCTCTCCAATCATGTCAAGGTCTAGCCGACCCTGAGGCTGTTTTTTGGCACCCTGACCTGCTAAGGTATGGGCTCCTTGCTCTGCCCACAGAGCCTGCTCCTATATGATCTGTTCCCAGGGCTGCCTACAACTGGGGGCTCCCATTTTGATAACTGGAGAGGCTGAAGGTTTTAACAGAATGGGTGGGGCTGGGGGGACATCAGTCCTCCTTGAGCCTCAATTTCCCTTCAGAATGAGTCTCATGACAGTAAAACAGAATTTAGACAATGGAGATAATACCTGGTATAGAGTAAGCACTCAAAAGGGAACAAACAGCTGGTTCCCAGGGCCCATCCTCTCACTTCACAACTCACCTACTTCTTACACACAAGGCCTCCACGCTGGAACACAAGCATCTGGGGGCCTGGAGCCCAGAGTGTGCTGATTCTGGGTTGGGCACAGTGAGGGCAGGAGGGGAAGATGAAGGGGCTGGATGTGGCTGTGCCTGTCCTTGCTCCCTCCTCTCCTCAGCACCTACAGAATGCCAGCCCTGAGCTAGATACTGGTGAAAAGGCAAGGGTGGGTGTTGCCCTGGGGCTCATGCAAGTGAGAAACCAAACTAACAGTTCTAGAGGAGACCAGGCCCCGTATCACCAGCTTCTTGCCTAAGATCTCACTCAAGTGCAGCCACCTCAGGAAAGCCTCCTCTTAGCATGGCTGTGGCCTACTCCTCTGCAGAACTTGCTACCAGGGCAGGTAGGCTAGGGCTGGACTGGGAGGACTCAGGCTGAAGCTGCCTGATCCAGTGGTCAGAGGTGCTGCTTGGGGTAGGGCTGACTCGGTCTGTCTCTGGCTCCACAGGCAGTGGCTGTGATCCTAGCTGCAGCCATACAGACTCAATTCCACCCCTAGGCCTCTCTGTCACCCAGCTATGACCCAGGGCTCCCACCTGCTGTTCCCTCTTCTGCCACATTCTGTCCCCCATGCCCCTGGCTCCTTCCCTCTCTTCTAGGGCTTTGCTTAAAGGTCACCTTCTCAGCAAGACCTCCCATGACTAGCCCCGCCCACCCCGACACACTGACCCCTTTACCTACTTATTCCAGAGCACTTCCCAACTTCTCGAAAAACTATTATGTTTACAGTGGCTATGGCCTGTACCCAGCTTCCATGGAAGCTGCCCCAGCTCTGCCCCAGCGTTGGCAGACCTGTGTTATGTGGGCCCTAATGGCTCCTAACTCCCCAGAAACCACACCCTTCCCTTTGGTGAGGACCTGAGTCTTCCCAGGTTCCCCAGGCCTGGCCAGCTAGCACAGCCCATCACAACCATTGTTGATAGCATGTGACCAAGCTGGATCCAAGGAAGTCAGTCCCGTGGCTGCTGCTGCCACAACTGGGAAGAAGAGCTCCTCTACCCGGGCTGCTGAGCCCACGGGAGGTCCATGGGGGGCAAAGTGGAGCTGCCAGGCTGGCACGGATGGACCCCCTAAATCCACCTGTGTCTAAAGCCAAAGAAGCCCCTAGACCAGTGGTTCTCAACCTGTGGGTCGCCACCAACAGGAACTATATTAAAGGGCCGTGGCATTAGGAAGGTTGAGAACCACTGCCCTGGACTCTTTGGTTAGAGGAGCCAGTAATTTCCTATTGCTGAAGCTAAAGGCAGGTTTTCATCACGTGTGTCTGGCTTAGTCTCTGAGTAATTCAGGGTATTCCCCTTGGCAAGGGCCAAGGGATGGAACCTGGGAACCAGGCTCTCTCCATGCTGAGACCTCATTGTGATTGTCCAGTCCTGCT